CCGCTGTATATCAAATATACATTTTTATAACCCAGGCCATGTGACATCCACAAAATTATAATGTGCTTTGTGACATCCATACAGTGTTGCCAGTTGGGTAAATAAAAGCTAAGGAGTATTGGTTCACAGTAAATATTTTATTTGTGTCCACGTTTTATTTTTAAAGGTTGTTGAATAGAGTTTTTTTAATTCTTCACATTCAGGTTTCCTTGGAGGTTTCTTTAAAGCCAATTGTCTTTTAAAAAATATTTGGGCATATTTTTTTTGTTTGCTTGTCCATGGTATTAAGACTCGACGATCTTTTTTGGCTGGTTGCTAAAATTGCAAAAATTTAATTATTTTTTAGTTAAATTAATAGAAATTGGATATTAGTGTTTTTTTTCATAACACTAGGCATAATAATTAAATAAAAGTTTGGTTTGTATATTCTTCTAAATTTTGATATAAAATACTATATTAGCGAATTTAGGTTATTGATGAAATGTATTTTTTGTAGAATGTCAGTCAAAAATATTATCTTACGAGGCTTACAAAAGCAATGTTTGCTATTATTAATTAGGTAAACGGTACCTTGGTACATAGCTATGTTAAAAAAAAACCATTAAGACTAGCCTACTCGTCTACGTTCTTTGTTTACTTGGTGATTGTTTTATTTTTTGTTTAAATGTGACTTAACATTTAAATAAATACATTTTACTTAATACTGTTTTAAAGAGCCCTGTAATTTAATATTATTAACTGACACCGAAAAACATCTCTAAAAAGTACCAATATCTAAAAATTCACTTTCATGGTTAGGCCACTTTTTTCCATTTTAGTTTTTTAGTTTGCTTACCTTATTATTATTCACATTGCATTCATCCTTCATAGACTTTTTTGCTAACAGGTGCCTTAATGTCAGTATTATAAAATTAGTTTTATTTGTGTATAATAGTATATTATGTATCAAGTTTTATAAACGCCATTTTAGTTACGAGTTTAATTAAGCACGAGCGAAGCTTGCGAGCGAGTGTTTAATAAAAACGAGTGTCTAGAGAAGTTTATAAACGAGTTGCATACTATACTTTATCTACGACGAACACAAAACAGAATTTAAAGCCAATTTTATTTGTTAAAATTTTGACATCTGTCAACTGTCACCCGAATTTAACCTCACTTTTTCCCAATTTATAATAAAGCTAACTTCAGCCCGTGACGTAAAATGTCGAAAAGCCACTGTTGTTAACTTCAGCCCGTCAATAAAACGCCATAAAGTTACAGCTCGTCAATGTAGGTGTAGATAAATACATATTGTTAATAATACTTTAAAGTTGAATTTTTTTGTGTTGCTGTTTTGAGCTAAACTTTTTGTATTTTTGTCTGTTTTATGGACCATTTAACCATGGAATATGAATTTAACTTTAACAATAATTATAAAATTATAATTTGTAAGAATTAAAAATAATTAAAGAAATTAGTTACTCTCAGAAACAGTCAAAGACTATTTAAGTAACAAAAAATAACTTTTTAAAAGTGAAAACGACTACTTGTTGGTAAACAATGCTGGTACAAATTTAAATAGTACCGTAAACACGGGTGACTTTGGCTCACATTCAAACTTTTGCTTAAAATTTTTGTGGTTTTAACAATCATAAACATATTATATACCAAAATTTAAGTCTTAAGTTGCATTTTCATAATAACTAGGTTATAATATTAGATAAAGCTGAGTTTTAAAAATAAAAATTAAAAACAGGGTGTGCAAAGTTACCCCCTAGTTGCGGGTAACTTCGTCTCACAGAGTATTTTCCGTATAAAATTGGTACAATATTTTATTTATTTTTTTATTTGACACATATTAGCCGAGACATATAGCAATTGCCAGGGATTACCGACGATAAATAAAAAAATGATCCATAATTAACCAAGGATCAATCATTCCTAGAGGTCTAGAATAGAAATTTTACCGCGTGTAGTTTTAAGGGTTCTGCACCGATGCAATATAAACAATTTTAAAATGTGATAAATACTATTTATTACTTTAAAACACTATTTTTTCTTAAGTAATATCATAAGGGCATTTAATTTTTCCGAAAAGAATCGAAAAAACACGTTGCTAAGTGATATTTTAACAAAAAGCATGAGTGCTGGTGGCAACAAAAATCCGAGTTGAAGAGGAAGATTTTTGCACCTGCACGAATGCTTTTTGTTAAAAAATATTACTTAGCATTGTGTTTTTTCGATTTTTTTCACAGGAAAAATTAGATGCCCGAATGGTATTTGACAAGACTATTTCATGAGTAATAGTTAACAATTAAAATATAAATTGCAATTTTTGGTGACAACAGATGTCAAGTTTTGCCGCGCGTAAACTCGAAAAAACTGCTGACAGGTGCTGTCACACAGTTTTTTCACCTAGAAACCATTTTTAATTCAAAATTGAGCGTTTGTGATTGGTGGAAATTAAGACGAGGGAAATAGTCGGTAAAATAAACTTCATAGTACCTATCACCTCATTGAAAAGTTTAGAGAAAAAAATGTTAATTTTATTGAGCGCGAAAAGATTTTTCATAAAAAGGTTAAAGTCATCCGCGGGGTGCAAAGTCACCCGTGTTTACGGTAGTTCATTTTAAGAGAGTAGGTAAACCTAAATTAAAATCATATTAATTTCATGTATGGGCGGCCAGTTTTTATACGCAATCCGAGAAAAATGATTTTTGAAATTATTTATATTTTAAGTTGAGTGGAAAACGATCTTTCTAAAGGTCCAGATAAAATTTGTTTATTTAAAAATTTGACATTGCTATTAATTTTTGTCGAGCGTTACTTCACAAACGCCTGCCTCGCGAACTTCAATCGCCTCTTCTGTAAAATATGATTTTATGTCCCTTTTATCGGATTGCGTCATATCAAATTTTGTAGTAGGTATAAGTACAATTTAGCATGTGATGATTACCTCTTATATCTTAGAAATTATTGTAATTTATTGACTTTACGATATATAAATATAACCTAATAATCGTAATTTATTTACCTGCCGGTGTCAGTTAAATTTAGTTCCAGAAAATAAATAATAAATTGATTTAAATAATTGCAAGAATAAGCAGCAAAAGATGTTAAACCTACGTCTTATATGAATATGAACTGAATTTTCCAAACAATAACACTTAAAACTCAAGAAACAACGTTGCCAATATTTTGATGTCACAAAGCGCGACAAATAAAAAGATAATAAACACTACATAAAAATGGATGTCACAGGATACGTTGGTTTTATTATCTAAATTATACAAAATAAACATTGCCAACTGTCCAGCGCGCTATCTGGTGGGTAAACGCGTGAAACAATTATACAAGCAAATTTTAAAAGCATGTTTTGTAACATCCGTTTGATTTTTTTCCCACCCTCTCCTATCCTTGTTATAAGTAGATTTAGCATGGAAAACGTTGTGACATCCAATTTTGGATGTTACAACGTCAATGGATGTCGCAGCGCCGGTAGAAATTTTGCACCAGGAAGTCACAACGATATGCGGATAAAACTATATATATATAGAACACACAATGTTTGGAAGTATAAGCAATGTGCACTTAATTGCACATTGCCTGCGCCTGCAAAGTGCAGCAGAATGTGATATTATCGTTGATCTTTTGTTATAGTAAACTGCATTGTGTCTCATGCAAAAGGCCGTAAAAGGCATTTCACTGCTAGACAACAGAACATAACCCTTCCTGGAAGCCATACTAATACATTATTAGCTACGATTTTAACTACTATAAAAACAAAAAGATTGTAAGATAGTTGAACACTTTCTGATATTTGCTTTATTGAAAGTGTCAGTCTTAAGTGTCAGCGAAGTATAAAAACCTAATAATTCAGCTCAGCCAGACTGTTTCCAATATAAGGAAGTAGGAATTTAATAAAAGTAAGTATTGTTTTCATGAAACTTGATGCTCCAACTTTAACGCCGTTAGAGCTTCAAATGTTTGCACATGATATTTGCTGCTGTGTTGACTCTAAGGAATGGCAAAAAAAACAGAACAACAAACTGTGTACACACGATTTATCCAGGCACGATAAACTTTTAATTCGATAGACAGTAAACAGGACGAAGTTTTTAATAAAAAGTTTTACACACGGTAAAAATAAATTCCAATTCAGGTCTGGTTATTCGAAAACCGCTTTCCAATTTTTATAAATGCATAAAGTGCCGATAAATAACGCTGGAAACTTCCGAATGCGCCAGATATTGTAACCGTTCAATTGCATACTGATAGAGACCATGGGAATAAATTATCGAGATGAAATTATGGAAAACCGGCGATAGCAAATTTGCCCCGTCATAAAGCAGCGATTTTTACTACGAAATAATTTTTTTTAAAAGATTGCCATTCTGTACCTTGTTTGATATGTTAAATAAAAAGTTTGTTTTTATTTTCGATTTAAAATATACCTATTCTCTCCTTTTGGAGCTTCAATTTATTCATTATATGCTCTCTGAAAATGAATTAGTCCAAAATGACTAGTTTTCAAAGTATAAAACTGTATTCCGGACATTTAACAGCCAATTCTTATGTAAAATTGTAGAGCGGTTTTTGAGTTATAGTCAATTCCATATTATATGAAAAATTGACTATATCTCAAAAACTGTTCTACTTTTATAAATTTCAACAACATTTTTGGATTCAGCGGACAATTTTACATAGGAATGTCGGATACAAATTGCTGTTGACGAGAATTATTAGTGGTTGCTTTTCGCTATGACAATTAGTCATATTTGACTAATTTATGTTTAGAGTGCGTCTGTCAAAAAAGTGGTTAATTTTTATACAGATTTTTTTATGTAAAACACATATTGACAAAGACTAATAATAATGACCTTGGGAGAACGACAGAACCCTCATTTTAATACTACTTATGATAATATCATAAGTAGTATTAAAATGAGAGTTCTGTCTCTCCCCATCTTTCAAGGTCATTAGGATTAAAGCCAGCGGATTCTGGTTCACGTGTAACTTACCTGCATAAGCCGTAGAGGATATGGGGCCGGAAATTCTTCAGCAATGTCCCGCCTGTACACTGTGCTATTAAACACTGGCGGCAGATCGTTAACGTCCTTTATGTGTATTATAACCGTTGTGTAGTTTTCATTAAGGCTGTCAGAGGCTACCAGGGTTAGCTCGTACTACAAACATGCGACAAACAATACAGCAATTGCAACAACGAATACAGCTAGCAAAATTATACAAATAAACATAAAATGAAATAATAATGTAGGGCATTCAGCCCCAGGTGTAACTTGTATGCGATAAGTAGAGCTCGTCTTTTTGTAATCAGCATGTATGATTATTCGTGATTGTTTGCCCTATATTCCGGATTAACGCATTAATAGCATTATAAATTAGATTAATACTCTAAAAATTGAATTAGTCAAAAATGATGTGTGTAAAATTGCCACTGAAGCCGAAAATTATGAAAAAAGAACAGTTTTTGAGATATAGTCAATCCCATATTATATGGAAAATTGATTATATCTCAAAAAATGTTTTACACTGCGCGTCAAAATTAACGCATAATAAGTAAAAAAATTCTAACTCTAAAATGTCTCTAATATTCTTTATGTTCGAGGGTTTTTCGAGAAAATATTTTTAAAGACCTTTTTTAAGTAAATAAAAAATATGCTGTTAAAGACCGTATTTTTGTTGGTATACCCTGAAAATTTTGTAAAAATCAAACGAACAGTAACGAAGTTGGTTTAAAGTCGGTAAAAATGACCCCTTTTTGATTATTTTGCTAAAAAGTGGAAATTTTTGAAGACTTTAAAGCGCTGTATTTTCGTTACTGTTTGTTTGATTTGTACAACATTTTCAGGGTATACTTACAAAAATACGGTATTTCACAGTAAACTCTCTAAACATTAATTAGTCAAAAATGACTAATTTACTAGTTATTAGTGGCTGCTTTTTCACTTGTACCAAGGTATCCCAAAATTTAACAGCCAATTCTTCTTCAGTTAAAAAAGTAGGACAGTTTATTTACTTAAAAAAAAATCCCTATAAAACTTTTTTCTCGAGCGTTTTTTATTACTAATTAAAAGGGTTTTAAGAATATTTTTCGAAAAACCCTTGAACACGTAAACTGAGATTTTATAAAGATTGGTAAAGGCGTTTTGGAGTAAGAATCTTTTTACTTATTATGCGTTAATGACGCGCAGTGTACTTTTATATCTTTTGACGATATTTTCGGATTCAGGGGACAATTTTACATGGAAATTGACAGCTATACGAGAATTATTTATTTTATTATTATTACTAATTCATTTTTAGAGATTTGAGTTAATATAGGTTGTAACAACAATTTTTTATAATTTTACTTGGTTAATCGAAAAGTTTTTGTGGCTTAAAAAAACCGAGCGCATCAAGAAACTATCTAAAAGTTAGGATGGAAAGAAAGAGAATAAAATATGTGCGTTTGGGATCGATATAGGGTTGTACCTTTGTTGATAAGACGTCAAAGCAAATTGGATGGGATTGCGGGATGAAATATATTCACCAATTGGCTTTCTCCGCAAATTTATTCTTTATGAATATAAGCCTCAGGATAATTTTTTTTTAGACCTTTTGGACAAATTTAACGTTGTTTAGGGTGTCATAAAATTAATTAATTAGGGAAACAGGTGTTTCAGTACAAGGATTTGTAAAGCTTAAGCGTGTAAACTTTGATATAGTATCCGTGTCGGATAAATTAAACTGAGCTCCACCTATCACACACTCTTTCCGGGGCCGAACATGCGACGCTCAAACGGTGGATTAAATGTCAGACAGCTACAAAAAAAAATAAAAAAAAACAACAACAGAGAGCGTGCCAAACTCGCCTTCAGAACGCTTTTCGGCAAATTTCTGTCGTCCTCCTCAGTGATTTGTGTTCGGTACGTAGGACGTTCGAACACCGGTGGGTTGTCGTTTACGTCTTTTACGTGGATTACAACGGTTGTGTAGTTCTCCTTTAAGTTGTCAGATGCTGCCAAGCGCAGTTCGTACTGAGGGGTAACAACAAGTAAATCAAACTGCGTTTTACTGTCTCAATGAATATACGAGAATAAGACAGTAGCAACATTTTTGTATGGGTTTAAAATCGGGTACATTTTTTTGGACTGGGCAACATTTTATAATTTAAATAATAAGGTTCAACGCTTTGACTTTAAAATCAAAACAATACAGCATGTGTACGGTAATTAATAACACTTTGATAGTTAGTACTTTGGCCTAGTTAAACTAATTTTGGGCTGGTGATTTCATAAATGTTACTCGTTTTGTTCTAGCACGTCTAGGATTTAAAATAATTGCGTAATTGCTTTACTCAATAGGGTGTCCGTTATTAACCAACTTGGTTTTTTTGTTCGCAGCGCCCCCTAAATTTTTAGTTTATCACCTAAAAAATTATAAAAAAAATTTAAAAAAAAATATTCATATTAAACCGTGCCACAAAGACGATACATTTTCCATTTAAATAACATGGATTTTACATTTATTTTTTTCTCCCGAGCAAGTTAATACCTCTCCAGCAATAAGTGATATTTTTATAGGAAATTGAACGCTGTAGAAAAAAGCTCTCCTATGATTTTTCGATAAATTCACTGGTTTAAAAGTTATTTTAGGTTAAAATTGGACATAGTAATTTTTTCGATTTTTTTACTTTGACTGCAAAACTATCATTATTTTTATGAAAATAAATTGTTATTTTTTGAAAAGAGATAAGTGAAAATTATTGACAAGAGATTTCGATAAATTAAAAAAATTGTTCTGGTGAATCTGGTACTACTTTTACTCAAATTTAGTACGATTACTTTTTTTACGTAATCTTTTAATTTCTGTTAAATTTTACGATTTATTTAAAATATTACAATGAAAAATTTTCCTTCAGCTAATGACGTAGAAATTCTTTTAACAATTATTTTTACGAAAAAATAAAAGTTGTAGTTATTAGTAGTAATTATGTAGTAATTTAGTTACAATTACTAAAAGTTTAACTTTTAAAACAGTGAATTTATGAAAAAATCATAGGAATGCTTTTTAGTGTCTCTTATTGCTTATAATTTTTTTTAATAATTTTTTTTAGGTCATAAACTAAAAATTAAGGGGGTCTGCGAACAAAAAAAAAACGTAATAACGGACACCCTGTATATTGCTCAATCCCCACAAAATGTAATTATTTATTAAATTATTTTGCCTTAAATTTATCTTGAATATACTGGAGTAATCGGTATACGTCAAATAGATAATGTTTAACTTAACGGTATGGCATTTTAAATACTAAAACTAAAATTATTATGTATTTATGTAAAAAAACATCCATTATTTGACATTTATTGTCGTTTATTTTAATTATTGAAATGAAAAGGCAACAAAGTAAGCAAAGAAAGTAAACAAGTTATGCAAATTATCTATATTTGATAATTTTTAACCACATTAAGCCCACAAAATTAAATGCATTGCATAATATTGCTTTAAGGGCAATCCGACCTAATGAAATTTTTTTTTCCTTTTTTTCAATCTTATTAAATCGTATCAAATATCGAATTGAATTATTATATACGTCCCTTTCTGCAAATTCCAGCAAATATCTCCTAGCAATGAATCCAACTTCTTTGCGCTATACCAACGTTCTAGATTTACAGTTACTTGGTGAAATCGTTCATCATATTCAGTAGGTGACTGTCCGGCAAATTTATATGAATGAAAATAAATAAAATGTAACCTTTATAATCTGTGATGTATTCTTAATGACATATTAACGTCAATTCCTTGAAAATCTGAGAGCATTACTTCAATGAATGGGCGCCAATTTTCGGCCCGATATTATTTATTTAATACATTTATATATTTTCCAATAAGCTACCCAAATAGCTTTTTTAGGCATTAATATATAGATGTTTAAAGTTCAGCTAATACTTGCTACTCTTTCACTTAACATTTTGTGTATTATTATAATAATAATTTCCAATACTTTTCTTTTATTTATTCCATTTCAAATTTTCACATCAATATCCTCTTTTCAAAAAACTCCTTTAATTTGCTAAATTTTATATCTTAATACAACCAATTTTGACAAATTATTTGATATTTTAAATTTAATATAAGATATGATAAGATTCAATAAATTTATGATTGGAAATTGAGTTTTTGGGTATTTTAGGCATGATGTGAATAAAAATGGTAAAACCGAAACCCGTTTACTTGTTGCCTTTTTAATTTAGTAATTAAAATATTAATATGAAATAGGGATTGCGAAATGCGAATATTTGTATTTCGCAATTCGCATCTATATGAAACCGACTTAATGCATATGGGGATTGCCCGCAAATTAGGTCTAGACATAAAATTACCTAATTTTTTTGAGAATCCTAATATTGGGTTGTTTGATAAAATCTCCGGAGACTTAAACATATGAAATTTCTTTGGATAAAACTTACTTTTGGCACAATTAACTTTTACTCGCAATCAATTTGTGTTGTACGAACGATTCCGGTGATTAATTGCCAAAAAGATTAAGAAAGCAATACGGGAGGCATTGTTTAACTTCTCGGGACTATTAGAGCCCTTAAAACAATCAAGATTTATTAAAGTTTTGCTTATTTACATTGTGAGCATATTGCTTCTTTCTTAATTAAAAAGTTGTTTTTGAATCGTATAAAAGCAACTTCCAGATCGAGCACAACATGTCTAAAGAAACCAGGAACGTCGGAAACTCGTAAACTCAGCCATAAAATATAAGTGAAAAGCAAAATGCTCGTTGTAAACAACTTAAATTATATAAAATTTTGTGCATCAGTGCCTTGAACAATGTATATTTATGAGCATTAAAAGAATTAATCGACAGTAAGACGTTTTGTTTCGTTTTAAAAACATACACAATAAAATTAAATTAAACTCTAAATTAACATGTTCATGCTTTGTTTGCGTTTGAACGAACGTCCGAAATTTTAGGAATTAAATAAAACGCTACACGCTAATTACAAAGCTTTGTTTATAAATTTTAATTTAAAGTTTCCGCGGATAGCCGAAGAAATGTTTTGTCAATTATTAAACACTGCATAACGTTGCAGCGTATTATACTCACGGAAATTTATTCAAACAAGCCCCATTGTCTATGTGTGTGTGTATGTGTATGAGCGCCATTGTTTGGCCGCACAAAGCTGTCAAACGTTAAAATAGCGTCGCCTCAAGGGAACGACCAATCACGTCGTAGTACGAACGATGACCGTGCGTGGCGTTACTAACGGCCAGCTAGGAACATAAAGCAGACCACTGATACGAGGCGTCGACCGGCACTTCCGAATTTAAAGGAGATTCTAGGTAATTAATGCATTGTATCGGGGTAATTAGAATTCGCCCCCATTTGTCTTATACCCATTCGCCAGGGTAGGTACAGCAGACATGTTTGGGACGTTATCTCGAGAAAATTTGGACAGCAAAAGCATGTTTTTAGTGTATTTTAAAGTGTAAGAAAAGCGGAGCACGATTCTTTCAAAAGATTTTTTATTTTTCAAATGGGGTGCGACGTCATAACTGCTGAGCAAAAGCAGAGATTATCAAGTTTGAATGACGCATAGGGTAAAGTAGACAGTTATCGGACACTTTATAGTTATTGAACAATTAACATTAATACTGTAAAAACAAGAGTTCTATAAATAGTTACCTTAAAGTCAAATCATTAGATGACGCTGTATACAATTATAAATATCTCAGTCGATAATAATATAGAACTTCTTTATTTTGGGTCCAATATAAGACACAAAAGTTCGCACTTTACTTTGGTGGTAAGATTTTTTTCAGCAGGGCTGTGTTTAAATTACAATAAAAAATATTTCTAAAAAGTGTACAGATCTGTGTGTGGTATAAATGTGTTCCTCATGGTTTAAACATTGTCACTTTAACGCGTTTTAATTTTAATTCTGAAAACAAACAGTAAAATGATGAGTGTCCAATTACTGGTTAATAAAAAATGTAAATTTCTATTATTGAACATATGTCCAATATCATACTCTATTTGTATCCCGGACATTTACCAGCCAACTCTTATGTACAATTGTCCGAAAAGACCGTCAAAAACTATAAAAGTTAAGCAGTTTTTGAGATATAGTCAATTCCATATTATATGTAAAATTGAATATATTTCAAAAACTGTTCTACTTTTATAACTTTTGACGACATTTTCGGATTCAGCGAATAATATTTTATGGGAATTGACTGCTAAATGTCCTGTATACAAATTGCTGTTGACGAGAATTATTAGTGGCTGCTTTTTCACTATGACATTTTTGACTAATTCCTTTTTGATTTCTTCGACACAGGACATCTTGCAGAATAACAGTGATTTAAATGCAGTGCATGATAGAGAACATAAAAAACTAATGGCAACAAAATTAATAAATTCGAAAAATACTTTTAACATACCACCCGAAAAAATATTGGATTTATATAAATCATCCTGTTCCGGCCTAAACATTATAAATGCTTCACAAACTAGAGATACCACCCTTAATGATATTTGCAACAAATTATTTCAGAAGTCAGACCAAGGAATTAGTAGTTACCGGTATACCTTCAGAATCCAGAAAAGGAATGAGGAATCCGAGAAGGAAATATATGAATTATATGATTTTTTTCAAAAACGAAATAAAAAAATTACCCAAAACAGCAATTTATCTTAAAAAAATATTTAACAATTTATGTTATTTGATGTAATGTTTTTATGTTTATATAAAAATTGTAGGTCCAATAACTAAGGTCCATGTGTCCAATTACTATATAAAATGTCCAATTACTATACATTTTTGCATGTTTTTATAAAACTATTATTAAAAATTCAAATATTCTTATTTTTAAGTAAACGCAAATAAAGTTTAAACAAACTATTCTTTTTATATATTTATAAGAAAAAAACTAAAATCTTTAAAACAACGGCATATGTGGTCCAATAACTATGTGGTTTACCCCATTTAAAATATGAGAAAATGCCTGTTTCGGACTTTTGTTCCTGATCAGTGCCGGTTAGCCCTGTAGCGCAAAGCACAGTCAAACAAAAGGCCCTCGCCGCAGTAAACGAGAGTTGTGAGTTTTAAATAATTTTTACGATGTAAATTTGACAATACTAAAAAAGTATTTTTTTGTCGAGTGGTTAATAATGCGCCGATTGTATTCTCAATTGTTAATAATTAATGACATTCATTTCTATTGCTGTAAACAATGTTATTCCTTCCCCTGTATATATTTTCATTCCCTCCCGACAATCAGGTAAGAAAATTTCAATTCCCTCCCGCTACCATGACGTCAGATTTATTTTATTACTAAAACGAGTAAATAATAAAAATTTTTTAAATGAAAAATTTAATGAAAAAGTTTTAACCAATATTTATATTTCATCTTTATTCTCGTAGGTAAACATAAAACGAAGTTAGAACACTTTATTTTTTAATAAAAATTCTATGTAATGACATTTTGTCTTTATAAAACTTGAAGATTAATTTTGAAATTGTTTATACAAAAAAAGTTAATTGAAACATCCTAAAAATCCCGGTAAAAATGCCCTTTTATATTGGAGTAATCATACAGTTTTTTTCTTTTCTGTTAATTGTTATTGCGATAATACTCTTTTGAAATCTGCATTTTTATTAAAAATGCTGCGCACCCCAATTAATAACCACGCGGAAAACAAGGAAGACAAAATTGAAAATAACGGCTGAAATGTTTTTTAGCTTTTTCGATTAATCGAGTAACGAATACGTTTTCAAGCGATATTTTTAATAAAAACCGGAAATTAATATTCGACTCGTATCGCTGGATCTGCTTTGATGTCCAACAAATATTTTTTTTATCAATATCTGTAATAATATACTTCGAAACAAACTAAATATAGAATAAAATAAAATCTTTCTTACCCTCTTCCTAGTTTCGTAATCTAGTGCTCCTGCTACATAAATGGCTCCTGTCATATTTTTGACAGCAAACGCTCCTCCTATGTTACCGCTTGTGATCTCGTATCGAATACGAGAGGCTAGAATAAATAAAAGCAATTAATTTAGAACAAAATCCCTTAAAAATAATAACTGTTTAATAGGGCGGGTTGTAAAAAAAAATTTGTTTTTTTTTCTTAGCCTGGGGGTAGAATTTGTACCTTATAAAAAAAGAAAATTTTCAAAATAAATATTTAATAAAATGGGGTAGTTCCAACGGGAAATTATTTTTTAGGTCCAAAATCGTGGAAAACATGTAAAAATTGTAGAATGTGATTTTTTTTCACTCAACTTTTATTCTAATACAAAAGAACGTGCATTTCATTTTTTAATTTTTTACTTAAATTACAAAAACAATGGGAAAAAAACTTTTTCAACTTTTGACTTCCAATTGGCTTTTAAGGGGACACCCTACAGATTCTAGAACGAAACAAAGAATTTCCCGTCGGAACTACCCTATTTGATTAAATATTTATTTAAAAAATGAGTGGGCCACCTCAAGACGTTGAGTAAAAAAAAATTTTTTTTTTTGAAAATTTTCTTTTTTTTTATGAGGTACAAATTCTACCCCCTGGCTAAGAAAAAAAACAAACATTTTTTTTTCAACCCACCCTACTGTTTAATGCTATGTAAAAAGGACGCTCACAATAAAGTAATAATAATTATCCCAAATAACTATAAAACAAAGAAACAACTTATTGTATACTTTATAGGGGTATTTCGTACAAGAACTGAACACTTGAAAACAAACTTAAAAGGAATTTTATCTAAATTAAAACTAGTGGTCTTTTGTGTCGAATTCCAAGCTTTGTCCGCAAACATTTTAAATCCTCTTGAAAGTACGCTGAAAATCCATTGGGAGAAAACCTTTTTCCTGGTTAATGCAAAAGCTGTTAGTATTAACATATCTACGACAATTTCTAATTAAACGGTGTCGTGCAAGTGTATACAAACGAAATTTAATTTCGGTTTGGATTTTTATTTCCAAGTGGGATTAAAAATGTCGCCCAACTTTGTTAAATAATTATTATCACATGAGAAACTTTCAAGTGGTCTAAACGCATTTGAAGTTTCCTTAATACAGGATTAAATCTATCCGCCAGTGCTTAGACCATTTGGCAAAGGTTTACCAATGTTTAGTTTAACATGTGTTGCAGTTAGATCTTGTAAACACTAATTGTATATTTACCCAAAACATTCACAAGTTACTTAACAAATTCTCATTTCACGTTCATTAATTTGTTTTAGCTTAAGTGATTTAACAGCCTTAAAGTAAATTTGCATCAATCAGGCAACATTACTCTAAATCTCTTATCAATGTTTAGCTGGACACCTAATATGATAGATAGATAGAAAATAGTCCTATTAACCTTTTCTGGCCTTCTGGAGATATTATACTAATACAATCCTTCGGTAAGGAACTAGTGGAGTTTTTTATGTACACCTCTTAAACTAAGTAAAGGCTTTGGGTAAAAATTGGTAGAACTCGTTTTGTTCAAATAAAGTTTTAAATTTAGTTTTAAAAGGTTTTAAAGGGGTCTATTCGGGAAAGGTTAGTTTAACACCTCTAGAATATAAGGCAATCAACGAATTTGTCCTATTTGAAGTAAGTTTTTTATATAGTTCGGCCAGGTTGAAAAAGTTATCAAGAAATGTTTCTTGGGTGTTCCATTGACTCATAATGCATAATGCAATATATTGACTATAGTCTGAAGCTTTTAATTTCGGTAAATTTTATACACTGACTCTCCGAACTAACCAAAATACATGATAATAAAAATCAGATTTGTTAACATGAGTTTATAGTTTTTTAATTTTACACAGAAAAAAATATCGTACCTGATATTAATGTCCTACGATCATTAAGTGCAAAATCATTACGATAATGTCCTTTTCATAGTATTAATGCAATCAAGTAATTATGATAATGCTTAAAAAATATGAGTTAATGTATTATTGGATTGTCACAATGTCTGCCTGGTCATTATCCTAGTGCAAGAATTTTATTATTTTTTAGCCAAAATACATTAAGACAATGATATTTTACATTAATACGATGATTATTTACATTAAATCAATAACCTAGAGTACATTAGTTAATCATTGCTCAGTGATAAAATTAATGTCAAGGCTTAATAGATTAATACTCTAAATGGTATAATTTAATAATCCAAAATTATTACATTAATGCCTATATAGACATCAACTTATGTACCCTAGCATGAATATAATGCCCTAACATATTAAATAATACAACAAATCATAACTTTATCGCCAAATACGTTGAGCCAATGTCTAAATACATTAATATTAGGCCCTGTTGTTTCCCACCACCTAAAAATGCAAGTAAGAAAACAATTTAACAACAGTTTAGTATTCCTGTTAATCCTGTTGCGACGTGCTTGCCCGCCCATCCCGATTGTTGTGCGTTTAGGTTTATTATTATATGAAATATAAAAAAGTGCAAGTATTTTTAACCTTTATTTCCCAGAAGAATGTGTCATGGTCTGGTCAATTATTGAAACCTACTTTTTTAAAATGAAGCATTCTAATACAGTTTCCAAAATCTATGTGACTTTTAGAATGTAAGTAAGACAATGTTAAAAAGTTAAGGTTTATTTATGTTTCATAAATTTTTTGTAATAAATATAAGGATTTTAAATTACCAAGGGTTTTTATTATTTTTTTATATTAATCTTTAGTTTCATAATATTTACAAAAAGGACTAGAAATATGTAAAGTTCCAGTTCCAGTTTTGCGGTGACCCGGACATAAACCCTGTAGAAAATGTTTGGGAACTTCTGTAGAGAACATCACCACATAAGTAATATTAATAGTAATAATTATTAATATATTTTTTTACATATTTCTAGCTCTTTTTGTTAACTGATCAACAAAAAAATTGATTTAATGTTAAAACTTAAGGTAAGTGTAATAATTTATATATATATATATATATATATATATATATATATATATATATATATATATATATATATATATATATATATATATATATATATATATATATATATATATATATACATATATACAGGGTATCTCAAAAGTCAAGGACAGCAGAAAAGGGGTGGATAGAGGATGGGATTCTAAGTCGAATGGTCTTTGCCGTTTTTCAATCGACTTAAAATTCCATCCTCTATCCACCCCTTTTCTGCTGTCCTTGACTTTTGAGATACCCTGTATATATATATCGATCCATTCCGGTATACCAATATCGATATATCGATTTATCGATATTTTTCCATCCCTTAATTCAGTCCTACTATTAATGCTTCTTTGCATTATGATAATGCTAACAGATCATTAATTAATGTATATTAGGTGATTGGGATAATGTTCTTTAATTGTTAATTGATTAAAAATTTATTAATTGGTTGATGTTTACTGGGCATAGAATTAATGTACTAGGACATTAATCCATGTTAATGGTCATTAATATCAGTACTTTTATTTGAGATCTTCCTGATTAAAATCAATGTCCGCCAAGCATTAATATTACGTCCTTGTACATTGAATAATACTTTAAAAGCATTGTGGTAATGATTTTGAGCATCGGAGCAAAATTAATGTAAAAAATCATTGCGTTAATGTTTTTTTTTATTAATATTACGTACGTTTTTCGTTGTGTGTATTCTGTAAAATTTTAACATAATTTTTTGAAGAACACCATGGTTTATTTTAACAGAGGAAAATATTTTACCGAAAGTTTTGTAAACGTAATATGCAATTTTGTAGCATTTTGTTAATTTTAAAGGTTGGGCAATTCCATGATTACTAAAGAAAGAAAAAAAATGTTTTATGAAAATTTTTGAAGATGTGTTGTTCCTATAATAGGTTCTCAGCAATAAAATAAAATAATAATAACTATCATAAAATTATTGTTATACGAACAACATATTTTCAAAAATATTCATAAAACATTTTGTCTTCTTTCTTTTTGTCCCGTTAGTAATCATGGAATCGCCCGGTTACAGATTATTTTGTTTATGTATCCGAAAAAAGGCCATCACTGGTTTAGAAACTGAAATTAGGGGATACAGTAAATTGGGTTAAAGTAACGAAATACATAATTAAGTGTTGTAGTAGTACTGATAATTATATTGTGCCAAATTTCTTTATAATTTGATGATTTCAAAATGCTGTGTTATTTAATTGTGTTGTATGGTATTTTTGTGTTCATTTATGTAGGTATATGTTAACTTTTTTGTTTAGGAAATTAACTAATAAAGCAACATTTCTTATCAAAATGTTTGTTACTGGGTCTGTACAAAAATTAAAAGAATTATGGTTAAATTATTCAATTAGTTAACAGATTACAGTTGGTTGTAAACAAAAAGTTATGTGGTTAAAATTAACAAATATTTTTTTTACTGTGTTGGTTTAGGTTTTTTAACATCATTTATTTAGTTTTTGTATACAAGTGTCTATAGGCACTTGATTCAAATCTATCGTTTTCAGAACTGTACACTGTGCAGTGTACAGTGTACAGTGGTTTTAGTAAGAAAAACTTGAAACCAACAGTTTCAAAACTTCAAATATTTGTTTTAGACAAAGCTTGTCAGTCTTAACCATAGATAAAGAGGGTCAAAATGTTAGCCTTGTTTATATAATTTTTGTATATTTAAACTAAAACTGGGATTGGTAAATTTCAAACCTCTGTATTTACCAAACAAAGAGGTTTTTCACTTCTTTATCTGCATCTTTATTTTCGTTACCTTTAGCCCTGTATAAAGTCTTTCTTTACTCTTACTCTTACTCTTACTTCGTCAAAATTTGACGACTTTTTCGTATTCAGGGGAAAATTTTACATAAGAATTGGCTGTTAAATTTTGGGATACCATGGTATTCCATTCCCTTTTTGTGAATATTATTTAAAGGGGCTTATTTGAATACTTTAATACTGTTTGTAACGGTAATAACTTTAAATCACTGGTGCGCTCTGGTATCCTAACAGGTTAAAAACATGAACCTCTTTCTGAAATAAATCAAATTCATAGGAACTAACATCCTGTTGAGTTTC